GAGGCGAGGGATGACACCACCAGACCCCCTAACCGGATTAATTTAGTCAGATCTAGGGACATCCCCACCCTATTGTTGTCAGCTGATGCAGAGAAGGCATTTGATTGGATCAACTGGCTTTTTCTTCTACGTACCTTGAGACATATCGGTTTGAGAGATTATATGTGCAAATGGGTGGACGCAATTTACTTGCACCCAACAGCGACTGTACGAGCGACTGTAAATCACCTCTCCCCTTAGAGGTTAAAATGCATCCCACCATAGGACCACGGTTACGACCCTAGCCAAAACGGGCTATTTAAGCTCCGCTCCACATCCTTTCTCCCTAATGTCCCCGATCATAGGGGCTCAGGCGTTCATCCCAGGATTAGAGGACACAAGATTTCAGGCGTTTCTATCCACCAATCAATTCCACATTCGGGACTTTCTGACAGGCAACAGATGGCACTCCATTGCTGAGATCTAAGGGATGCTTTCTCCCCCTTTAGAGTCATGGAGTGTTATGCAAAAACGCAACTTTCTTTCTACCATTAAACTGAACAAGGTGCATTCGGGTAAGATCTCGCAATTTTTTAGCGACTCTGTACGGATACCTCTTTATGTCCCATGCTTGGATTTCCACACCTCCGTAGGACTACGTTCCCCCTTTTCTTCAGCGATGGGTAAGGGACATAGATAAATCCCTGTCTCCAGCTCAGAAGGCCCGGGTTCTCCATGTGTTGGCATTTCCAGCAAGAAACTGGAACACTGTTACACATCTTTTGGTCATGCCCAGCTTTACAGTTCTTTTAGAATGAAAGAACTGTACCAATTTCACTCTAGACATGCAACCAGAAATTTTCCTCCTGAACCTTACTCCTCTGTCCAGATGGAGACACAGAAAGTACCTCCTGAACCACTTACTCAATGGAGCAAGAGTGTGTATACAAACTGCCCCTTAGATGATCGGTCAATGGATAGCAGTTGTAAATGAGATCAATGATATGGAACATTTGAAGGCAGCCATTTAGTAAAATATGGTTTTATTGGCATGACTTGTAATGTACACAAGATTATGCTTCGCTTCTTTCTTCACAGGTTACATGAATTTAGACCCAGAGCAAGTGGCCTCAGTTGTCCTCAGCATGCTTTAAACAAGACTCCAGCTCCCTCCAACCTTCTTTCCCATTCCCCATCCTTCCCCTCCCTCCATATTCCCTTCACCCCCCCCCCCCCCCCCCCCCCCCCCCCCCTTCACTACCTTGCTTACCTATCTTTTATGGAAAAAGTTTTCTAGAGGCTTAAACCTGCATGGTTGGGATCCAGGATACTGTTTACCGTTTCAAAGAGATAGCAAGGTTATACAATCTCTCTTACTTGGTAACAGTCCTCTGGTCGTACTGACATTTTATCTGTCTACATGCTGCTTTGTGTGCGTTGCAGTACGGCACTGTTTTTTGTACAACATGGGTATAACTAATGTGCACATGTTGTGTTTATAAAGTATGTTGATGACCCAACATGTTGGGTGGATTTTTCTTTTATGTTGTAACATGTATTGTGCTAAAGGAGGGAAATAAAAAAACCCTTTAAAAATTAAAAAAAGAAAAAAATATAGCTGGGAGAGGAGAAACAGCAGAACACTAATCTTCCCAGTGAAAGCCTGTGTGTATAGGGGGGGGGGGGGGTTAAGTTAGGTCATTGGAGGAGAGCACACTGAGTTTCCAGAACAGCTAAAGAACTGACTGGGCAGCACAGTGGCTAAATGGTTAACACTTCCGCCTGGCAGTACTAAAGTCATTGGTTAGGATCCAAACCACGGCACCACCGGGCTGGAGTTTGCATGTTCTCCCTTTGCCTGCGTGGGTTTCCTCCCACACTCCAAAGACATGCTGGTAGGTTAATTGGATCCTGTCTAAATTGGCCCTTAGTATGTGTATGTATGAATGTAACTTAGGGACCTTAGATTGTACACCCCTTGAGGGTTAAGAACTGGTGTGAATGTACAATATATATGTAAAGCGCTGTGTAAATTGACAGTGCTATATAAGTACCTGAAATAAATAAAAAATAAACTGACCATGGTGTGTTCTCCTGCTTAGTGTGGTTAGTTTTTAATCTGAAAGCAGATCGGCTGGCAGAAACACCAAGCATTTGTTGGGTTTACATATTCTTTAAAGAGCAAGTTGCTAAAGAGGACTGCTGAACAGCCAATTGTCATAAGACTCTGCATTGGCAGATTATGTTATACATCCATTTGATGTGATTTTAAAGTAAAACTCCACCTTTATACATGCTGCAAGCCATTTTGTAATGGCAACTTTTAGGTTTCAGCCTGTAGCCGATTATTTCTTTACCTTTCTGACAACCAAGCCAAGAGTACTCTGTATACAGAACACCCCACAATCTCTTCCCCTGCTCATGTAATTAGCTCACAATTTTCCCTCAAGCCTGTGGTAGAATTTATAGCAGTATGAAACCTAAAAGCAAACATTTACTGTATTGCAGCTTACCAATTCTTAGATGTGATGGTTGCATGATTTTTTTTTAAGATTTTTCTTCTAATTTCATCTGGTGATCCAGCCAGTAAGTCTGTTAGTCAAAAGAACAAGCTCTCTTGCTGTTACAGGGATGAGACAAATCATTTAACACTGACAGGGGTACTTACAACGGCCAGCTTTTATTTACTTATGTAAAACCTTTACCCCAAAAGGAAAAAAAAAATGATTTGTTGTATCTACTTCTAAAGTACTAGCTGAAGTTCAGCTTCAATTTGTTAGTGTATTTAAATCTGCTAGTACATCTAACACGCTCCTCCTCCCAGACTGACAAAGCTGCTGTCCAAACATGCCCTTTGTGCTCATTCATCCTAAACGGAGGCACTCCAGTACAGATGGTGTGTTACGGGCCAAATCAGGTGAAAACGGGGGGGGGGCTAAAAAAGAAAACTAATGCAGCCACCACATCTAATGGTTTGTAAGCTGTAATATATAAAAAATTTGGTTTTGGGTTTAATACCACTTTTAGTTAACAGCATTGTCCCTTTCACCTTTGGCCGTATTCCAGGAATTCAACTATGCGTATTATCATCACTAGGAGTAGATTATGTGATTATAGCTGGCAGACACTCCTAATGAGGAATTATTGAAATTTCTTGCCTCAGTATCTACAGAGCAAAAGCGGGAAAGAATCTGAAATAAAGTCTGTTAGAATCTGTGCTATACTTATGACAGGCCTAGAGAGAATTTGTCTTCATTAATAAGAGTAAAATATTCCTTTTCCCACAGTTCATATAGATCTGCCCTTCAGTAAGAGCTCAATATAGATTAACTGACAATCATGAAATCTGCTTTTTTTTTTCCCCAAGTTTATTAACTTTACAAATGATTTTTACAAGCCTAAAAAACACAAATCAAGACTTTGCAATTGATTTAAACAAACACATTTGAAGTCTAACTGATGTCCCTGATGCTGACATTTTAGGACACAAACTCCTATGCTGCAAAAGTGATAATTTAGCAGCAATGTTTTGTGTACATAAAATGGTCTGTAGGTGCAAATCAACATATCCTAACAATGGCACTTGACAAACCAAAGTTAAGGATGTACCCGAGAGGTTTTCATGCCATGGAACCTGTAACATACAAGTAGTGTGCATGGCAATTCTTGGCCTAGATTAATTTTTTTTTTCAGGGTATAAATATAAAACATGGGCCCTACAGAGGTTTTCTGCATAATTTAACTGTTCTGCTACATAAAAATGATGCAGTCTTTTTATTTTTTTTTTTCCCCCCACGGAACTTTACTAACCCCCCCAAAAATTACCATTTTTTACATTCATCTAGATGACCTACATTACAAATTTTAAATTTACAAGAACAATTGGAGCTAGCAGAAAAGTCTATTTAATATGATGCAAAAAGCAGTGGTGTGCAGTAATCCATAGCAACCAGATATCCTCTTCCAGCAGGTTATGCACATTAAGGCGTTTTGTTTAAAAGATGACCATACTGTTGTAGATTGCTTTCCGTTATGGAGATTAATGTTGTAAGGACCACAAGACGCCACACAGCTGACACCATGATTTCTGCATGTGGTGCACATCGCCTTAGAAAAAACCTATTCATTCCTATGGAGAAGCTGTCTATTGCTGGGATGCAAAAATATGGCCTCTGCATAGTGATCCATGACATTTTTCAGCACAGGTACAGGGAAATTTTCAGCAGTGTATATGTGGCTCTCTGTGGGCTGACCAGTGTGTCTCTTGCAAGAGAGTAGGCAGTTGCGTACAAGCCATTATGGGGTAACTTAAAGGATAAATATACAAAAGTATAGCTAATCTTTAATGATTATTATTGGTAACTGCAGAACACTATTGATAAAGAAACACTCACTGAACAGCTGTGTCAGGCTGGCTCTATACAAACTGGAAAGCTACTTCTAAGAAGGATTACAGTAAATGCCATAAACCTAGGCAATTCAAACTTTGCATATTATTAAATAATGCATCAGCAGAGGTTTCATTAAGTGAAATGTTATGTCAAAGCGATAAGCAGATCCACAGATTGAGGTATCTGAAGTTCTATGCAAATTTTCACTTTTCCTCCAAATGCTGAGTTTTGCCCTACTCCTCCTCTGGCCTCAATGAACAACAGCTAGACGGCAGGTGAAGAAAAGGGTGAGCATTGCATATTACATTGTCGGGTCTGCTAATTGTTTTGACAGTTTTCACTACTTATGTTTTTTTTTCCCACTCTATTTTCAGTTTGAATTGTCTAGATTTTTGGTAAATCATTTTTTGGTGATTTATCCTTTGTAAGCTTAATCCTGGCAAAGTTGTATCTGGTGCAAAATAATGTTAATAGTGCAAGAGAACAATGTTCTGAGGACATCCAGAGGGCCAAAAAAGAGGTAAAAATGTCTGGTTCCTAGAAAATCCGTCCATTCTGATGAAACAATCCTTTTTGCTCATGTACCAAAACAGTCCATTAGTTGCTTAGATGACAGTGTGCAAATGAAGTTCAAGAGATTAGCTCAGTTTCATGTCGGGCAATTGCTGGAGGCAATGTTGTTCCACAAGGACCTTGGAAGTGGAACCTAGAGAAAAAACAAAACAAAAAAAAAAAAAAAAAGAAAAAAAAAGACAAAAAGAAAGTTAAACAGGATGCATTTATTGGAAATTTAAGACATTTGTGATGGTGGGACATGACAGCCTGAGAAAGCCGTGGAAGGTGGGGAGGGAGAGGGGAGAATGCCCCCTCCCGCTGCTGGTAAAAGCAATCCAGGGACTATTTACCCACTTGGACTGCTCTTACAAGAAAGCTCTAAAAAACAACAACGGGGGTGACGCTTGCAGCTGCAGGTATCATTCCCGTATAAAACACTCAAACTCCAGCGATGTACTGGTACTTCGCTGGAACTGAAGCGCTTAATGACTCCCTATAATTATCTCTGTCTTAATGTCTAAAGCAGCCCATAGACGAGTCAAAAACCGAACAAAAATTAAATATTGATCTGCTATTGACAATTCTTTCATTTTTTCGCATCAGTGTGCCCGTTGTAACACATGCAGTTTGTGCCGCAATGCCTGATCCAACAAATTCCTAATTGTTGATAGGGAAGCTGTACAGAAAAGTAAAATAAAAAATTAACTGCGAATGAACTAGGAAAGTATGACTCGGAAGGAAAAGAATGTTTACAGGCAAGAAAGTTCTTTCATACATTCAACTAGCAGGCAATGAGAATGAGCTAAATTTGACCTCATGTACTAAAGCACTCCCAGCACCAGGAAACATCAGCAGTACATACTGTGTCTTCTAAGAGTGGAATACCTAAATGTGTTTGTATTAGCTGCTTCCGAGCCACCCTATAGCAGAAATACTGCTACAGGGAGGCACGGATGGACAAAATAGTATGTATGTACGTACGTATATCTATCACACACATGATTTTGCAGTTACGGGTAGGGGGTGTGTGTGTGCCCTACCAGCACCACCATTCAAGGCCTCGGCTGTCAATCACCGGGTCCCGGCTGGTGATTCCTCGCCGGCACACAGTGATCACCGAGTATTTCCGACGGGGAAAAGACCTGTGTATAAAAACACAGATCTCTCCCTTGTCAGCTCAAGCAAACTGCTTTGTATGGCTCTGCATAGCCATACAAAGCAGTGTGCTTACAGTGTAAAGCACGCACAAAACTAACCCTTTGATCACCCCAGATGTTAACCCCTTCCTGCCCAGTGCCATTAGTACAGAGTCAGTGCTTTTTATTAGCAATCACTGTATTGGTGTCACTGGGGATGTCATCGACACCAAGCCAGTTCCCCCCTAGTGTCAGAATGCTCGTCGTAGTCCCGCTATAAGTCACTGATCGCTGCCATTACTAGTAAAAATAAATAAATAAATAAAAATCCAGTATATATAACCGCCATTTGTAAGAGCGATTACTTTCATGTAAACCAATTAATTTGCACATATTTGGTTTTTTTTTTTAGCAAAGACATGTAGCACAATACATTTTGGCCTAAATTATGACAAAATGTGATTTTTAAAATGATTTTTAGTGCACAGGTTTGATAGCAAAAAGTAAAATAGTTTTATTTTTTTCTCAAAATTGTCAGTCTTTTTTTTTTTAGTTTATAGAGCAAAAAAATAAAAAAAATGCACAGGAAGTCAAATACCACTGAAAGAAAGCTCTATTTGTGAGTATAAAAAAAAAAAAAAAAAAAAAAAAAGACATAAAATTTCATTTGGGTGCAGCACCGCATGACCGTACAATTGTCAGTTAAAGCAATGCAGCGCCGTATCGCAAAAAATGGCCTGGTCAGAAAGGGGGGTAAATCTCTGGAGGTCAAGTGGTTAAAATGTAAAAATGTCAACACATGATTGCACTAAGCAGACTAGGCAAAGTGAAGGGGAAAAAAAAAAAAATTGTTTTAGCAGTGTAAATTTCAAAACAAGGATGGCACAATTGTATGATAAAATGAACGCCATTTTTTGTTTTTTGTTCGACAGAACGTTCAGTCTTCAACTCTTCTATGGGCTGCCTAAGAGTAACGGGAATTGGGTAAAATGATCCAAATTACAGGATTGATTTTAAGCAACATATAACAAAATTGTTGAGCACTCAAGGTAAAATCATTCCTATCAAATAGCATCTCTTTTATATACATGATGCTTTAGAAACACAACTAATGTTTGTGTTGGAAAAAAGCAGGTAAGGCTTAAAAACCTTGACAGTTACTATTAATATTTGTCTCCCCCATCATAGAGATTTCCCCTCACTTTCTGTCCTAGAGGCATCCTTTAAAACCTTGAGGGCTCATTCACACCATGGTGCAAAGACGGGAGTTTCTGCACAAGTTCTTCAAAGGCACAACCAAATCAATTGTTCACACCACAACACTAGTGTCAGCTGCATATTTTATCTGCGCAGAAATCTGCAAGGTGTATAAAACTCATTGAAAACGCACATGAAAACTGATATCTCTGCAAGTGAAATCTGTGTGTCAGTTTCCATCAGTTTTTTCTGCACATATGGTGTGAATGAGGCCTTAAAGTGGAGAGTTACAGTGCCTGCAAGAGAACCGAAATCCTCCCTAAAATGTGGATTTATCTCTGGTGGTCAGATTTCCCATTGCTTTCTGACCCCCTGACCTGAGAACAGTTCAGGTAGTAAATGTAAAGATAAATCTCACCAACAAGGATACAGAGAAGTAACAACCTGGGACATGTTATACAAAGCACTACCGTGATGAGGTATGAAGGCTTCACAAACAGTATGGGATGACTAAACAGTAGCATGGCGGCAATCATCTCCTTTCAGGCACGATTTCTTTTACTGAATTTTAAACTGAGAAGTCCTGGAAGAATTCAATTTGACCCAGAGGCATAACTTGAAGCTTGTAAGCCCCGATGCAAAAGGTAACTTGGGGTCCCTCACTACCACCTGACACTTCTAGCGAGTGCCAAGATACTCCCACACGCATGCCAAGATACTCCACATTATTTCAGATCTCTATTTACATATTGAGAGGGTAATTCAAAAGATTTTGAAGAAACTGTCCACATTTTCACATACCTCTTCAATTATTTTGAATACTTGTAAACAGATCCCGGCATGGGCCCTCCGAGTTTAATGAATCACCTACGCAGATTGATGTGGCAAGCGCTATTCCTCGGTGACAGTGTAAAGACCAATTCACACATTGTGTTGGTGACAGATGTTTTACTGCATCAGACAACTGCAAGCACACATAGAAAACTGTTTCCTGTGTTTCCCATTCACAATGCAACACAGCCTGGAGCTGTGCTGCAGACTACTGCAATAAAATGCAGACATGTTGTAGCACGCTGTACAGAATTGCAAGGCACTGTACAGCCCCTCCCTGCACTGCTGTATAGCCGCGTGAAAGAATTGTTTTGGATAAACAGTATTTGAAGTTTACAAAATATACACAACAAAAAAAAAGGAAGCTGTCTGATGCACTGAATTGCACACCACACTGCCCCGGCTGCAGCCAGGAGTGGACAGCTGCCAGACAAGTAAAGAGCTCTAGAATCTGTCCGCTCTAGTGTGAATACAGCCTCTATCCCAGAGTTTACAACCTTATTTAAATTCAAGATTTTACTTTGATGAATTGACTCTTATTATCTCATGTGAGATTTCTGAAAAATGGGTCGTGTTCATATAGTATGCGGTAACCTTTAGTGAATGGACCTCTTATTCTGATATTTTAGCTGTGTGAATTAAGGCATGGCCTAATATTCTTCACAGTGACTGCAAGTAATTCTACTTTGGACTAATCACAAGAGGTGCAGCAACAGCTAAGTCATAAAAAAGGTTAAACATACAAATTGCAGAATGTAAAGTATATTTACATTCTGATTTGTGAAAATTACTGTCTTCAATACCAATCTAGCAGGAACACAACAGAAATTTTAGCTCAAGACGCTTCTTACGTAAAGCCCAAAGTTGCAGGTGTACTTTCCATGTTGAACTCGGCAACAGGCACTCCTCGAGCAGCCACTTGTGGTGCAAACATGGCAGCAGGATAGACAACTGATGAAGTTCCAACCTGCAAAAGGAATCAACATGACAGCATGACTAGAACAAATAGGATCACCGCATCACTATGTTGCACTGTATGATGGATTTTCTGAAATGAGATACATATACTAATACAGATCTAAGATGTGTTGGGCACATTTTGGCTCTGAAGTGGATAAAACACAGTCAACCTTTATTTTCTTATCTCCATTACCACTTACCACCAAACACAAGTCACATGTTTCTAATTCTTTCTCCACTTCTCCAAGAAGACTGGAATCCAGAGTCTCACCAAACCATACAACATTAGGTCGGAGAAGACCACGGCAGCCACTTTCTTCACACCTGTCAGCAGATACAAAAGACATCATGGGTTACTTCAAGAATCTGATTTTACTTCTCCCAACATTAATGGGAAGTGGCTTATATATAAATGTTTATAAAATATTTTCTTCAGTTGTATTAAAAAAAAAAAAAAAAAAAAAAAAAAAAAAAAAAAGGGAAGGAGGACAACAGGTTTGTCTACAAATATTCACCTTGGTAATTCGTCTACTGGAATTGCAGCATCAGTAGCATCAGGTTCAGGAGCACTAACAGAAACAAAGAAACAACACCATTACATAAGACAATATTTAAAGGAAGAAAAAAAAAAAAAAAAAACTCAACAGTCAAGAACTTTGCTCAAGACAAATCCTTAAAATCCTTCAAGCCTCTTGAGAACTTTGTGGTGCATTACTTGGTTGCTTCTAGACCATAAAGCAGAACTTCATGCTAAAAAGGAGTGATACATAATACTTTTTTTTTTTTTTTGGGGAGTACCTAGTTTTAATAGGTACCTGCTCACACTTCTGCTAGGACCCCCCCTCTCTTCGCTTGCAGCCTTCTGGAACACGTTACAGGTCCCAGAAGGCTGTGGGTCCATTCACAAAGCGCAGCGCCACTTGCACATGCGCGGTGGTAAGCCGGCTGTAATTTCCCACCACACTTACCAGCTAGCCTGGGAAAATAGTTTGTGATGTATGTTCCCCTTCCATGTACAGCCTACTGCAAAGGCTAGCCATACATTGTGGTGGTTACCTTTTGTATAGCTTGTTTGCTGAATTGGTGTGGGGGCACATTTGATGCTTTCAGCTGCCATTGCGCTCTTGAGTGTCCAATGTGCTCCATTGCCTTTAGGGAGGAGAGGGCTACCTCCAGGCAAACCTACCGTTAATTTATCTGTAAATGCTCCAACTTGGCGACACTATAGTTAGGACTGCAGTATACAGGAGGAGCCTTGATGTGGGCAGTTTCCACATATATTTGCATATCTGTGCAACGAATCCCTGTTTTAACGTGAATTGTTAGACAGGGTCAATTTGGTTTTTTTTTTTGCGGGCTAGCTGGAAAGTGTGCTGAGAAATTGTTTTGGCTGTGAATCCACAAAGAATCACAGCCAGCTAAACATGCCTGGAACCAGAAGACTGGTGAAGAACTGGCCAGCTGAGGACGGAGCTGGATTTTTGGACAGGTAACTGTCCTTTTATTAAAAGTCAGCAGCTACAGGATTTGTAGCTGCAGACTTTATTTTTTTTCTTCTTCTAGAGCAAGGAACGTCTTTAAAATGTTATAAATTCTCAGGCCTATCTCCTCTATGCATAATTAAAGCAGATACTTAGCTGAGAACCACCACTCTCAAATCACAATATTGCGGCCTGCATTAGACTTCAACTGATCACATTTGGGGTGCATGTTCCAGCAAACAGCAATTTTCTGCTCTAGGTAACCTTATAGCTGTACTAATGCTAGCAAGTCTGAATAATTTACTTTAATCATTCTATAAAAATCCAATCTTGCTACCTTTATCAGGATTCCCCCTGGACTTCCAAATGGTTCTGCATCCTCTTTTCACAAAATCTGCACTGTGTAACCTTTCACTGTTTCTCAAATGTGATGGACAAGGGCTGCAGTGGTCTTGCTAACTAACATTATGGCTTGCACCTTTACAGGCCCAGATTTAGCAGCACGCAGAAGATGAGGATACTAAGAACAATGCCCTTTATAAGCATGCAAAGAAAACCTCCCCTCCTCTGATGTAACAGTGTAAGTGTATCAGCAAATTGCGAGCGTCGTGAAGTCACCAAGTGAGGGGCTTGATGACGTCATGGTGCTCGCAATTTGCCGATATACTTACACTATCACATCAGAGGAGTGAAGGCTCTCTTTGTATGCTTATAAACGTCATTTTTGGATCCATATGCGAATATCTGGTGCGACTGAGCACCTGCACAATGGGAGTGGTCATGTTTTTAATACAGTGGTGCAATTTAAAGGATAAAGCACTATTGTGTTTTACTCATTTTTTCTGACATGTATGCTGAGTGGAGGAGGAAAGATTAAAGGGATTGGTTATCTTTGGAGGAGAAGTGCAAATACAAGATACACCTGCCAGTTTATGTCCACCTCAAGGGACACATGCTTTTTTTGACCTAACTATATGTGAGGTCAAAAACTCCAGGTGAGGGCACATCTGGCGTTTGAGGTGGAGGATTACGTTTTATGAAGATATGGAGTTATGAAGTTTGTTGAAGTTAAAGAAATCACAATATGAAGAGACTTTGCAACTATTCATGTTCACTAATTTTAATATAATTTTGTTTGCATTCACGTGTTTTAAGTACCATTTAAAGGAAGCATAGCACTCTATGCTTTTTTACCTTTAACAATATTGCTCACAAACTTTTTCTGGATGGTTAGGCTTTGACATGTACCAATGACCCACTACAAGCTACTAGCTCAAAAGAGGGGCTTGCCCATGTTAGGGCCTTGCTCTAACCCAACCTGAGAAACTAGATGCAAACATAAAAGTCAAGTGAAAATCTTACCCTTTTCCTTCAAGAGCAGGACATATAGGGCTCTTATAATTTTCCTTCACACTGCCACAAGTGTTACATCGGGTCTTAAATAAGCTACCTAATTGAAAATGAAATGCAGATCATAAATAAAACTCTAAGCGATTGTTTTTATTACAAGCATTACGTGAATGATCTATACTATTTTAGTCTAAATAAAAGAAAAAACAATTTTTTTTTTTTTTTTTTTTTTTTTTTTTTAACAGTTGAAGAAAAAAAAAAAACAAACAAACAAACAATCTTAGCCCCCATTCACACCGGAGTGTGTTGCGTGGTTCATGAAGCAGGACAACACTCAATGTAAAGATTCCCGTTATATCCACTTACACCTGAGCATTGTGCTGCCAGTTGTCACATGAAACACACAGGAGATTTTCTCGGGTGGAATTGCGCATTTTTGGCTCCATAGACTTAAATTGGAGCACATGACATAAGCGATCTAAAGCATTTTTCACACATTTGGCACCTGGTTTCCATCTCCTAGCAATCTCATGCTGGTGAACAAAATAGAAAATTTACGAGTGTCTATGCTGTATGTGGGCCCACAAGAATCTCTACAATCCCAGTGATGCCTATTACAACAACCGTGGCATGCAGCAGAAAGGCCTGGGAAGAAATTAGCATCAGTCAAAAGCTCTGACAGTACATGAAACCACACAGAAAAACCAGGAGGCAGGCACAAGGACAAAGCTGATGTATGGGGATTGAGTTATCAAAATTGGAGAGTGCAAACTCTGATGCAGCAATGCATGGTAGTCAATCAGCTTCTAACTTCAGCTAGTTCAATTAAGCTTTGGCAATAAAACCTGGAAGTTGGTTGGTTTCTATGCAGAGCTGCATCAGATTTTGCACTCTCTGGTTTTAGTAAATTAACTCCAGTATCATAGATGACACATTGGCCAAAATAAAAATGCCTGAAGCTTGGAAACATGAAAAGCAATTCAAAAATCACACACAAAAAAAAAAAAGCTTCAACATTGCATGAAAACACTCACTCAATTATGAATGGGGGTTACTGTAGAGGAATTCATAAAATACATTTTTCAGTAGTGCTTCTCTGGTTATTAAGAGACAATCACAAACCATGCCTCCAGCCTACCATGAATTTCAAAGAGATTGCGTGTCCCAGCTTTGTGATGCAGCTCATCAATATTCTGTGTTATCACCACCACCTTCCTGCCTTGCTTGCTGAGCCGAGATTCACACTCTGCAATGGCGAGATGTGCTGGGTTTGGACTTTTCGTCAGCATCACTTCTCTGCGGTAATGATAAAATTCCCAAACACGTGAGGGATTCCTGACAAAGGCCTCGGGTGTTGCCAAATTCTGGGATGAAATAATGAAAGTTGCTTTAATATTACATAGATGATGTGAGCAACATGTGTCCAACTGTACGGAGATGTTTTTTGTAGATGGAGAATTAAACAATGTTTAAAAATGTAGATATTTACACTTTAACAATTTGCTTATATACTTATACTTGTGCCATGGCAGTGGCAACAAAAATTATAGAAGCGCAATAAGTACCAGTCAAACAAAAAACAAATAAATAAATGTCAGCAACTACAAAAACTTTATTAACCACTTGTCTACCAAGCACTTATACCCCCTTCCTGCCCAGGCCAATTTTCATCTTTCAGCGCTGTCGCACTTTAAATGACAATTGCGCGGTCAAATGACACTGTACCCATATGAAATTTTTATCATTTTTTTTCCACACAAATAGAGATTTATTTTGGTGGTATTTAATCGCTGCTGGGTGTTTCATTTTTTGCGCTAAGGAAAAAAAAAAAAAAGTTTCTTTGTTTCTATTATAAAATTTTGCAAACAGGTAAGTTTCCTACTTCACTGATATGCGTTCATGAGGCTGCATTGATGGGCACAGGTGGGTGGCACTGCAGGGCACAGGTGGTTGGCACTGATCATCAGTGCCCTGATGATCAGTGCCGATCACATCTGACAATTGCCGGCAGTACAGCGTGAGGAAAGTGCAGCCGATAACCAGCAACTGTATTTACCCGGTAATCTGCTGTGTCATTGGACACGTGGTAAAAAGCCGCTGTGATTGGCCGTTTACCGTATCCCGTAGTCATAGGACACAACGATTACCAGCGTCGTGTTCTGGAATGATATCCATGGACATCGTCCCAGAATCAAACAACTACGCTGTCGCCGTCTTTCAGCTACAGTGCGGTAGGGAACTGGTTTAAAAAAAAAAAAAAAAAAAAAAAAAAAAAAAAAAAAAAAAAAAAAAAAAAAAAGGACACCCGAGTGTCCCACGATTCAGCGATGTATTCACTTGCAGCTGGGTTCACCAGCCATCCTTGCTCCCCAGCTCTGGCATCTTAATTTGCAGCTTCACAGCCGGGCGCCAACTTCACATGTGCGAGTAGCGCTGCACCTTGTGAATGGTCCCATCGTTTTCTGGGACCGGTCACTTGTCCCAGAAGATTATGGAGAGGGAGGGGGTAGAATAACTTCCAATCACCTCGGTGATCGCACCAGAAGTGGGTACCTGCTTCCCCCCCCCCAAAAAAAAAGGTGCCAATTCCTCACAGGGACCAGTACTTCAAGTGGAACTTTCCCTTTTGGGTGTAGCTCTGCTTTAAAGGGGAACACTATGCATTTTTAAATGGATTACAAAAAAAAACAAAAACGAAAAAAAAAAAAAACACACACCTATATTCCCAATGCACTGGACACCCCTCTTACACTGTTTATATCCTTTCTGTATGTAACTGGACAGACATCTCAACCATTTCATCATCTTTTCTGCATTCATTCTAAAGGTTTCAACAATGTAACACATATGCAATTTACACTTTAGGGTTGATTTACTAAAAATCTGGTGAAGCTCTGCCTGGTAGCCAATCATCTTCCAACTTTAACTTTTTCAATTAACCACTTCCAGTCCAGGCCAATTTTGACATTGCTGCAGCAATGACCGAGATATCAGCCTTCCTACGTTGCTGGACGAGAAGTAGTTAAGCTTTGAGGAAAAAAAAAATCTGGAAGCGGATTGGTTTCTATGCAAAGCTGCACCAGATTTTACACAATCCAGATTTAGCAGATCAACCCCCCTGTGTCTTGACCGTTGACATAAAAAAAGGTAAAGGGTGCATTCACACTGGCAAATGCACCTGCACTCCAATAAGATGCGAGAACCCCAGAAAAAAGTTCCTGTGATTAGTTTCAGGAGGCCACCCCTCTAAAAGCAATGGGAGTCTGCCGACTCCTGTAGCTAATCGTGGTCACTAGCATTCAATCTTTCATGCAATGATCATATGAGAATGATCAGCCGTGGCTGCAACCAGTCTGCATCCAAGGCTGATAACTGGCATGTGATAGCTGCATGAGAGATTACATCCAAGTGGCCGTGATTAGCTTTGGAAGTTGGCAGCCTTTTATTACTTTCAATGGGGCCGCTTCCCTCAGACTAGTGGTGGGAAGGCGCTGCTGAGGTTCTGTCATCTAAATCGGAGTGCAAGTGCATTCCTGTGAATGCACCCTAAATGTTTCAGTGAGCTACTTTTATTGCTTTAGAAGCAGACAGACAAAAACAACAAACCTGGATGTAGCAGACAACAATTTGCAGCATCCTAGATGTGTATTTTATCTTTTATCTTAAAGCTTCATTTACATTAAAATGCACATATTAAAAAAAAGGGGTCATTTTAGCACTATATCATTTATAACATGGTAAAGCAGATTCATGAAAAGCAAAAAAGGTATGATGAACCACAATAATAAGATCCCTTTCCTAATCAAACTGATAAAACATGTAATTTGATTTATTGTGATGGCTAACGTCATCTCTGCTTTTTGCACATAATTTGGGTTCCTTTGCTTCTAAAACTAGTTTAAGACACTTCAGATTATATGAACCTTCCATAAAAACAAGCTTACAGATCATAACGGATTTACAGCCTATGCGTTAAACAGATCTATCCCTCTGAAAGTCCATAAATATAACATGAAATGCTATACAGTTGATACCAACGCTTACCTGAGCTTGCCATTTTCTCCAGAATCCTCCAGCACCCCTGAAAGTAGGAACTCCACTCTCTGCACTAACTCCAGCTCCTGTAATAACTGCTATATGTTTTGCCTTAGCAAATACTTCTCGAAATTCAGCCAGATCTATTACATGTGAGAAATGATGTAAGATTAAAAAGAATGCAGTGTTAATGTTACTACTATTTAGTATGTAAAGAACCTAATGTCGGTTATATATAATCTCCAGCTTCTTCTATCTCTTGAAGGCTACAGTTTTTTGTAACCTTGTAGTAGATTGTGATTGACCACCCCCCTCTTCCAAGACCATAAGGTGTCACTTGCTTACAGCTGGGCTACCCAATTATTTGTGTGTTGGACATTATAGAAGTGTGACACCATTATTTGGCTTTGCATTGTCCACAGCTGCTGGGCAGAACTGGGATTTCTAGTGAGGATATCTTCTAACTGTACTCCTTGAGAGATAAAAAGTGGCCAGTGTGTGATTTAGCTTGCCGACAACCAAGGAAAACTGAAATGAAATGAAAGGGTTGGTCTTTAAAATATACAGGAAAAATGTTAATATACTAGATGAGCCTTCAATCTTTTTACCCTGAGGAACCCTTAAAATGATTTTCAGGTCTTGGGGAATCCTTGCTAAAACCAATTCATTGGGACATTGGGAAACATGCGCCTTACACTGGTAGCCAGTAGAAAGAAGACCCCCTTTACAGTAATGGCCAGAATGCCAACCTTACAGACAGCTAAAAATCACTGGTATCATGCCACCAACTCTGCCATGTGGCGTTGGCCCCAGAACTATGCAGGCACCATCAAATGGGAGGTCAATCAGCCACAGCTCAAGGAACCCCTAGCAACCTCCACAGGAGAATGGCTGTACTAGACATCTGTTGATGTACCCATGCAGTCAAATACACAAGTGCATAATTGCAAGTAGAAAATCTTAATTTACTGTTCTGAACTACGTAGATGTAAAATCCTTCAAGCAGTCCCTCAATTAAATCAATTCACAAAGCACATTGTTCTTTATTTTGGCTAAAGAAATATTCGCACTGAAACATTCAATTCACACAAACACTAATTGTGTGGCATCGTTATTTATAAGAAAGTTACCAACTGCAAGCCTTCATTTAGAACGCTACTGCATTTTTTTCAGGAAAACAATTCTAGCTTTACCTCCCAGGGCTACATTAAGCCCTGGTTCACACTAGTGCGATTTCAGATGCGACTTGAGTTGCACAACAATGGAAATCATGTTGTTTTTCAATGGTGTCTGTTCACTTCAATGCAACCAAAGAATTAATGTTTCCAAGGAGCGATTTTGGAAAAGGGTCCTGTACTACTTTGGTGCGATTCCAGCTTGATATTGGCCTCATAGAAAATGCAAACCACATCCAAGTAGCACTACATAAATCGCACTGAAAGTCAGATCACAGCAGGGTAAACCTAGCCTTAATGTTGTCTTCAACAGACACCTCAGGTTAGAATCAGGTTAACATTTGTGATGATATTTGTGACTCGAATTTACGAAATGTAATATTATAACATTGATGTAGTAAATGCAATATTTATGCTTACATGGTAATAAAATACTGAATACATTATTGCTTTAATGAAACAATACCAAAGTATGGCATGAAAGAATAGTTACTGGGTCCTGCTGCAAAACCACTCTGATTACAGGAAGATCTAGCAAATATTTACTGCAATTGTTAGTGGCTGAGTGGGATTTTAACCTTTCCTGCAGCTGCCTCCTGGCCCTTTAACTGGATTGAAATGCCGGGAGGCAGAGGCAGGCATTCTGATCATGTGACCATTGTGGTTGGCTATCAAAGCAGTCACATGATTAGAAAGCTCCCGATAGCAAGTAAACATCAGGAGCTTTCCGTTACGTGTTAGTTGCTGTGCGGGGAGCACAGAATGAGCCTGCTCTCGAGTAAATTGTTCACCAATAGATGCATATTTATGGCCACTTGGCATTAAAATCCACCCGCCGAAAGACAGCATATATGTGCCACATTGGCAGGAAGAAGTTAATGGCAGTAAAGCAGGATATACAGGCAGAGTGCTTTTTTTTTTTTCTTCTTTCAGCCAGCGGCGGGTTGAATCTAGAAAATCTCAACAGATCCCCACATCCATACAAGCGATGTGGATGCAGAAATCTTCCCTGCTGCTCTATTGCATTCTGACAGTGTGAAATCTCCCTGTAAGAATTAAGCCTTGCAGCCATTGGTATCTGCTGATCAAATGGTGGTTTTCCAGCAGGATCGTTAGACAGAAGCCAGTCATTGGACTGGCTTCTGCTGAACAGACAGGGCTACACATGTATCGAAATGCTGTACATATATACACCAGCTTTACTGCCCCACTATCCTGAAAGATAATTGAGCTATGGGCATTTACTGTAGCTAATCTTTGCTTCTTCATCAAAGTTGACCCTACAGATAAAATTTGGTTCAAACATTTATAGCAGCATCAGAGCATTCCATAGTACGATTGTGGACTTGACAAATATCTCATGAAGACCCTGAACAACATTGCAATGTCAAGGTTTTGAATTCTACGTTTGATTTTGGGATGAAGACGTGCATTACAATAAAGTACACTTTTTCACAAACAAAAATTACAGTCATAGTTTAAATTCTAACTATGAATGTGCTTTTTGTTCAAGAAAAATTTTACATCCCTCTCCTTTGATTTTCTTCATCATCAAGACTGAAAACGATTGTTGATTTGACTACATTAACTATTATAAAAAATTGACTGAATGTTTCAAAAACTATTTTTTTATAGCCAACTTCTTTCTGGTGTAAAGTATTTCAAGTTAATATGCTACTAAAGCAAATAAAAGTGAGATAAAATAGTCAGAACAATATAGGAGCAATGTCTACCTAATGATGATATGATCAAACATTTTAAACTGTAGTTATGGCTGGGCATAGACAGCTCAAATTCTGTCCATTTAGCCGGTGAGAGAGAGAAAAAAAAAAAATACTTGAGCAATGGCTACATCTGATAGGATGCAGTTACTGTTCAGGCTTTAAAGTGTTACTAAACCCAGGACCTTGCATTCACTATATCTGGTCTCCCACAGTACACACAACATGGAAATGAAATTATTTTAGTAAATATAAACTGCTAAATACATTTTCTCATCAGCTGTTAGAGCAGTCTTATGACTTCAGCAGAGCACTGGTTAAAGCTTGTAGGAGGTGTTTTCTTTCTGCTCTAGGAGGATGTGAAAGTCCTGACCTCTGTCTGGACAGTGCTGATCACTTGCCCTCTCCCAAGAAGAAAAAAAAAAAACCTCTCTAGCAATACACACCAAACTGTGCATGTGTATACAGATTCAGTCTATCAGGTGGTCATTTCAACAAGAGGAGGGACAGAGAAGACAGGATCAGCCTTTTCACACAATGCAGAGGATTAACCTCTTAGGTTCCACAGTGAGTATAACAAGCATGCTTTACTGCTATACAGACGGATTTTACTGTTGTGGGTTTAGCAACACCATGTTTCCACCTGGCTCAACTAGTTGAGCTGGCTGGTACTTGCAGAGACGCTCATGTTTGAATTTCAGACCATTCAACAGCCTTTATAAAAAAAATAATCTTGGGAGTTTTGTGTATGTTGCCTTATTGTAAGTACCATGCACAATTCATATTAAACATAGATGTCGGTTTTCTTTTAAAGAAAAGCTTTAAACAGTTGAATGGAAATGACATCTTATAGCAAATGTACAGACCGTTTCTACCAACACAGCAATACTTACTAGAGCTTGGCCGTGCCATGTCAACCACAATGCCCTTCTTTCTTCCTGGCTTCAATCCAAAGTAAACCTGGGTTACCAGTCTCCGAGTGTGGAATGGAAGAAAAATCATTGGGACTGACTAGGCTACCTAAAAGACAAAACATGGAAACAGGCATATCAAATCAAAAATGGTAACTGTGTAAATATCGGAGCACATATAAAAAGTAACAAAAACAATAAAAACAGAAAATGTTTTCTGTGAAGCAAGCTTTGACAATGTCACAGATACGTTCACCCATATGTTTGTTAGCTATAAAAAGTGCACTATGAAGTTTCAGAGGCTCTAAACCTATTCATTCTCCCGTGTAGTAAACTGATCAATGGAAGTTCGACCAACATGTGAAACCTGGTTTAAAGTCACAGGTTGCAGTGTTCAGCATCTTACCATGACAAACAGCAGAGAAGTGTATATCTTTGCCTTGCAGAGCAAGTCCTAAGCATACAGCCTAAGTCACAGCCAATATACAGGAGAGACGTGCTGTTCCAGGCATCACACTCAAAGTGCTACGTGAGCAGAGAGCTTGACATCTGAAATTTGCTGACAATAGACCCCCCTCCTTCGACTGGGCAGCTTCCTCCACAACAGCTTGCCATACATACATCACCCTGTGTAGTTTTTGACATCTGTCTGGAGTAAAGGAGTGTAAAAAGATGTGGAGCAGTCTGTATGTAGTCAATTCTAGTTCATACAGATTGCCTTCAGAACAAATAATAGAGAAGAAAAGAGCAGAGAGTCAAATCCCAGTTCTTCCTTACTATACACACACACACACACCATAGAATTACTATTTAATAGAATACTTTGATATAGAAAGTAGCGGTGCACCGAAATGAAAATTCTCGTGCCAAAACCGAAAATTCAAAATGCACTTAGCCAAAAACTGAAATGTGCAGTTTTTAAAAATGAATATATTTTTGGGAAAAAAATACTTTGATTAAAAAAACAAAAAACAATATATACAATATAATATAAAATTGGAAAGAGGATGTTACAGTGAGTAAATAGATATCCACACTTTAAAGTTGCGCACGCTCATGGAATGGCGTGAAACTGCGGTACTTAAAAATCTCCATGGGTGATGCTTTAAAAAGGTCTACAGGTTAGCAGTGCAAAGTTACAGAGGAAGTCGAGAACGAGAATTATTGCTCTTGCTCTGATGTTCGTGGAGATAACCTCAAGTGTGTGAACACCATTTACATATGTGGGCATGGCCTACATATGTGTTCACCATTACTCGCGAGCACGGGGACTTTAAACTTCCTCAAGAAGGCACATGTACAGCCCTGTCTGAAGTTTGTCAATATCTAAATGATTCAGAGAAGGATTGGGAGTAAGTGCTGTTGTCAGACCAAAATTTAGCTCTTTGGCATTAACTCGACTCGCCGTGTTTGGAGGAAGAAAAATGCTGACTATGACCCTAAGAACACCCACTCTACACAGTCAATCAGATGGAAACATTATGCTTTTGGGCTGTTTTTCTGCTAAAGGTACAGGCCGACTTTGCTGCATTGAGGGGCCAATGGACGGGGCCATGTATTGTAAAATCTTGGATGAGAACCATCTTCCCTTAGCCAGAACACTGAAGATGGGTCATGGATGGGTGTTCCAGCATGACAATGACCTAAAACATACCGCCAAGGCAACAAAGAAGTGGCTCAAGAAGAAGTACATTAAAGTCATGGAGTAGCCTAGCCAGTCTCCAGACCTTAATCCTTTAGAAAATGTATGGAGGGAAGTGAAACTTCAAGTTGCCAAGCGACAGCCAAAAAAACCTTAAGGATTTAGAAAAGATTTGTAAAAAGTAGACCAAAATCCCTCCTGAGATGTGTGCAAACCTGGTAACCAACTACAAGAAACGTCTTACCTCTGTGCTTGCCAACAAGAGTTTCTCCACCAAGTACCAAGTCATGTTTTGCTTGAGGATCAAATGCTTATTTTACTCACGGAACTGCAATGTTTTTCCCTGGGAAAAAGGTAGACCGCACAGCAGGCTCTCTTTAACCGCCTCCTGCCCGCCATATAAGGTAATGACGTGCGCAAGGCGGTTCTCTCATTCTAAGCGGGCATGCACGGCTCCAGGAGCGCGGCGATCCCTCGGACACAGCGGATCACCGATCAACGGAAAGAGCCGAAGATGTCGGCTTGGTCATGTGATCAGCTGTGTTCAATCACAGCTGATCACATGTAAATAGGAAATGCCGGTTATCGGCATTCTCTCCTCACTAGCTGTTACGCTGACAGCTTGAGAGGCGAGCCGGAAATCGGCATTACTTGGAGGGGACATGTACACTGATGATCAGTGTGCCCTGATGATTTGTGTAGCCCCAGCAGTGCCATCTGTCAGTGCCCATCAATGCCAACTGTCATTGCCCATCAATGCCACGTGCCAGTGCCCATCAGTGCCTCATCAATGCCACATATCAGTGCCTACCAGTGCACATCAATGCCACATATCAGTGCCCATCTGAGCTGCCTTTCAGTGTCACCAGTCAGTGCCACCTATCAGTGCTGCCTATCAGTGCCACCTACTAGTGCCTCCTCAGCAGTGCACATCAGTGCAGCCTCATTACCACACATCAGTGGAGAAAAATCACTTACTTACAAAAACTAAGAAAAACTTATTTTTTTTCAAAATTTTTAATTTAAATTTTAAAAAAAAAAAACCCAGAGGTGAGTAAATACCACCAAAAAAAAGCTGTCTCAAAAAAATGATAAAAAATGTCATATGGGTACAGTGTTGCATGACCGCGCAATTGTCATTCAAAGTGTGACAGTGCTGAAAGCTGAAAACTGGCCTGGGCAGGAAGGGGGTATAACTGCCCTGTAGGCTAGTGGTTGAAATCTGACTGGTCGTCAGTTTTATTTCAAAGGTTGCAAAATATCAAAACAAAAACAGAAAACTAAATCCTTGCCATCCAGGCACTAACTAAACACAGAAGTTTTCCTATCTCACTGGTGAAGGGCTTCTCCCTGTCACCAACAAAAAATGAAACAATAGGCAAACCCTTTTCCTGGTTGGTATAACACACACTTTCATGCACAGCTCTCTCAGGAATGGCTGAGTCCCAGGCCACGAGCAACTCCATGCTCCAGCCCTGCCTTATTTATACCAACTGCTGGTGGTCATAAGTGGAGCACAAAATCCGGTCCGGAACCACCTCTGCCATTGTGGCTCAGAAAACCCGGAGTGGACGCCACCTTAAACTCCCAAATATGATTGCATGCGAGGTGACACATAGCATAGATACAAGACAATTCAGTACAGGAGGAATCAGAGGGCCCTGCTCAATAGAGCTTACAATCTAAAAATAGAGTCAAGGGATAAAAAGTGGATACCTGTTGTGGAGGGATGAGTTGATGGAGAAAGGGAATGGCTTCTCTGAAGAGAAGGGATTTTTAAGGATTGTAAGGAGTTCCATAAGATGGGGGAGGCTCAGGAAAGGACCTGGGAGAAAGAATGGGGGGGGGAGGTGACAAGGGAGCAAGATAGCAGGAGGTCTTGGGACAAATGAAGAGCAAGATTTGGTTGGCATTTTGAGACCAGGTTAGTGATGCAGATGGTGGCAGAGTTGTGGATAGCTATGTAAGTTATTGTTAGTATTTGGATTTCATTTGTTGGGTGAGCAGTGAAAGGATTGACAGAGAGGGGTAGCAGACATGGAATGGTTGGTGAGGTGCATGAGTCTGGCAACAGCATTCATGATGGAAGGAAGGGGAGATAGCTTATGTAAACGTAATCCAATGAGGAGGGAGTTCCAATCGTTGAGAGATAACCAAGGAGTGAATTAGATGCTTTGTGATGTCATTGCTTACGAAGGGGCATATTTTGGAGATGTTGCGGAGGTGGAAAGTTTGGACAGTGATTAGATGTGGGGATGAAAGGAAAGATTCCAGAATTACACCTAGCACTCTGGCATGAGGGGACAGGTTGATAGTTGTGTCATTGATCTTGACAGAGAAGTCCGGATAAGGGGCACTTGGGGGAGGAAATATTATGAGCTCGGTTTTGGAGAGGAAGTGGTGTGACATCCAGATTGAGATGTCTGTTAGTAAATTAGAGATGCGTGAGAATACTGACGGAGTGATCTGAGAGAGAGATTTGGGTGTCTTCAGCATAGAAATGGTATTGAAAGCCAAAAGAGGCTATCAACTGACTCAGGGAGGAGGTGTAGATTGAGAATAGCAGAGGTCCAAGAACAGAACCTTGGTGGACCCCCCGACAGAAAAAGGAGGAGGAGAGGAGGAAGTAGAAATGTAAGTGACACTGAAGGTGCGGTGGGATAGGTAGAATGAGAACCAACAAAGAGTACAGTCATGGAGACCAAAGGAGTAACATTTTTAGAGGAGGATGGGGTGGTCAACTGTATCAAAGGCAGCCGAAAGGTCCTGGATGAGGAGTACAGAATAGCGGACCAGTAGTTTTGCCTGTTAGTAAATTGTTTGAGCTTTTAGGACAGCAGTTTCTGTGGAGAGTGGAGGGCAAAATCCAGACTGAAGAGGATCAAGAAGGTTATTCTCAGTGAGGTGATCACTCAGTAGGTTGTAGACCAAACATTCAAGGAGTTTGGGGGGAAAAGAGGAGCAAGGAGATGGGGCAAAGGTTAAGATTGTTGAGGTCCAAAGAGGACTTTTTAAGTTTTAGGGTGAGAGCTGGGGAAGATACCAGAAGAGAGGGACAGATTGAAGATGTTAGAGAGTGTAGGATAGAACCAGAGGGTAACTGTAGTATTTGAGTGTGGAAACGGTCCAGGGGGCAGGTGGTTAGGTGGGCGTTAGAAAAAAGTTTAGCAATGTTCCCTATTGTAAGTAATTTGAATGGGGGAATTATTGAGTGTACCTGTGGACATGGGGTGTTAAGTGGGGAGGTATCTGTACAGTGGAGATACCATCATGAATTGCAGTTGGAGGAAGAGGAGGATGAAGAGAGAGCAAAACGAATACGGTGGTGATCAGAGAGGAAAAGGACTGTTGGCGAGGTTGCAAGGAATGCATAGGTAGGAGAATACAAGGTCAAGGTTGTTGCTATCAAAGTGAGTAGAGGCATGTATCCATTGCTTCAGATCAAAAGA